AAAAAAAAAAATTAAAAAAAAGGGGGGCAAAAAAAGGGGGGGGGGGGGGGGGTCAGGCCCCCCGACCCCCCCCCCTCTAAATCCGCCACTGCATCGAAATTGTGGTAGAGGTTCATGGTTGTGATTTTTACAGACGACTGTATTAACGCAATTATAAGTAATTCCTTTTATATTGGGGATGCAGAAAAAATAAATACCAGTCTGTTTCGAAATCTGTTCTTTTCATTTGTGATGGGTCTATAGTTTGGTAAAATGCAAACATTAAAGAATTATCAAAATAGAGAGTACTGAAAGAAAACCAGATTACCAGTAACCACAGCATGGGACAAGAAAGGAATATGCAAATGGAGAGAAGCAATATGCTTTGACAACATAATTGCCATTTAAGTGACATTGTCAAGAACAACGGGCCACCTTTAACGCAATCGCATCAACTGTTTGTGATTGATTTAGGTAAATTCGAATTTTATGACTTGCGAAAAGCGTATAAAATGGAAAAAAGGGTTTGATGAATTTTTATTAGAGTGGCAAAATTTGTATTAACATATATATATATATATATTTACATATGATATCTTTTTCGAACGATACATGTAGCTCCAAGAATTTTAGAATTTCTTTGCAATTCACCCCAGTAATATTCTGTCCAGCTAAGCACCTATTTGTAAATTTTGAATGCAAAAGTATTTTTACCACGTGCAGTTTTTACGTATTGATACAAGCATTTAAAGAATGATTTTTTTATGTTGTGTAATGTTGTCAAGGTTTAATTTTTTTCGTTGTGTATTGCTTTTTATGCTATGTTATTAAAAACATGAAGAAAATTTTTTTTCGTTGTGTATTGCTTTTTATGCTATGTTATTAAACACATGATGAAAAATCTTCGAATCCATATGCATATTTTTTATCTTAGTATCTTTTTATCTTTTTAACCTATAAGGATAAAATCATGGCCGCAGGATGATCCATTTTTATAAGAGCCACGGGTACATGTACTATCCACAAATCGAACTTAAATTCGTCACACAAAAATAAATGCCACATATGTATCCAGTCAAGTACTGTTAAAAGTTTTAATTATAGCACCTTGTAAAGAAAAACTATTCCATTATTTTGGAATGAATAATTCGGAACTCTTCGACGCTCAACTTTTTCCCACTTTCCTCCCATTTCAAGTTGCTTCATGTATGGCTCCAGACGATCTTTGTATTCCTCCACATTATCAAGGTAGTTTTCCCGCATAACAATGCATATCAGACCCCCTGAAATATAGAACACACAAACGTAAATGCATCCCTGCGTACATGTAGGCCTATGCATCACTTTCAACGACATAAATGTAAGAAAATTGCAGCAAACGCTTATTCGTGTATTTTCCATTTTACTATGATCAAATTCAATTGAAGACGTAGCTAACAGAATATGACAAAATTTCATTAAATCATCGATTTTTCCGTTTTTAGGACTAAGTTTCCTAAATTATTTTAAGATTATTCACAACTCAATTTCGATTGGGCTGCATCGGGTTTCAGTATATCCATTGCTTCCCATTTACCTTTTTTTACAACTCGAATCATCTCATTTAAAGCTGAACACTTTATATGCCCTTCTCCCATTCCGCCAGAAATGACAATGGCATCGTAGGTGTCTAAAAGTAAAATAAGCAAAATCACATATATGCCATGATTACATGTAAATATAATGGTTGAGTAAAGTAAAGGATGTAAGTACGTGTAGTTAGTGATTTTTTTCAGCCAGCTTGCACGTTCTTTGCTCGAAATAAGCTTAGATACAATACCAATGCACAAAAGTGACCATATTTGGATAAGGTGCAGATAAGGTGCACTGTAAACATAACGACGGGGTTATAGTACATAAATAACGTAACTACTGTAAGCTGGATAAAGAAATTAAAAAGACTTCCGAAGTGTCTTCAAATCCTGCACGTGAACAAACATGGTCATCGTTTTCCAGATTTTTTCCTTTAAATGAGATTCATACTTAAAACAAAACATCTACCAACATCTTTAAGTCAGTGCCTTTTAGTGGGAGAACGAGGAAGAGGAGGAGAGGGAAGAAAAGAAGACAGATATTAATTTTTACCTGATTCAATACCAACAGTGGGCTCTGGGGTAATGAAGCTATGGATTAACCGTCTATATATGTTTTTCCTTTCCGCTATGGACAACAATTCCTTAGAGGGGTCTAACCCGTCAATCGAAGTAAATCCGTGCTGATGTAGCTGGAAATTTAAGAAAAACATATAGGCAAATGTACAGATAGTATAACGCACACGGTTTATTAGGACAGATAATAAAAAGAAACTGGGAAGAGGCGTAAAACTCAAAGTCTCCAATACGTATTTTTAAATCAATAAAAAGTATACAGAGGCGGATCCAGGATTATTTGAAGGGGTGTCAGCGGATGCAAAGCCGACCC